AAAAACTACGACACGTATGATATTCAGTACAGTTAGCAAAAGCTTATTATGAGAATTTTTGTCACAAAAAATGTTATTTAAGGTATTCAATAATCAATAATTCTGGTACTCATTGCAAAAACTCTGGTGTAAAGTCATAATAAAATGGACGGTTTAAATGAGAAAAGTACAGACTGAAGAACAAAAGGATGGTGGCAATCGCTTTTTTTATAGCGTTGATTATTGTCAGTGCCAAAAAAAATGTAGGCACACTTGTTCTATGTAAACATGGAGCTTGATATTAATTTTCAGTTAGTACCTGAAGTAAAAACTTCTTTTAATTAACGTCTAATAAAAGTTGCGAGTAACTTTTTCCTTTCAGTTAATTTAATTATGACAAAGAAAAAGGCCTCTCATGAATATCACCTGAAAGTTTTCACACCTGGCCTCGAAACTATGTAATATAGGAATTTCCAACTATATGAAAGTTTTCGAAGTTTTTTTTTTCACTTGGTTTCAAAACTTCTACGTTGATCGAAGCCAATAATTACTCCTCATTGGTTATCTACATTTCTATATCTACAGTAATTTACACAGAATTGTAGAAACATTAATATTAATATGATGAAGAGATAAGACAGAAAAAAAAATATTTTAAGGATGTATAAATCTTTTACCATTAGAAACCTATATTATTATTGAGGTTTTTTATTCGTGACGAAATCTTGGACACATTAGCTTGTATAAGATATTTTAACTAACATTTAAATCCATTTGCTTTTGCTTTATATTTAACTAGCTGTCGCCCGCGACTCTTATTGCTTTGTGTGAAAAAAAATATTATTCGTAGCCTATACATATGTGTTTTTCCAAGCTATGTTCTACATCTATCCCAAATTTCAACGAGATCCGTTAAGCCGTTCTGGAGATATGTACCTTCTAACAAACATCCATACAAATATGTAATCATTCGCATTTATAACATGAGTAAGATTGTTTTTGTTTAAGAGGTTACTTTATTATACATTAGAATGTCTTCAAACAAAATTACTGTTCAAAGAAGCTAGTCAAATCCAATTTTCTTAAAACATTGTTTCTTCGAAAATGGTTTACAAAAAGTTAATCGTTTGATCTTTGTTGAATAATTTAACGTGTAAGCTTATGCAAATTTAAGTGGAACCTTGTTAACTCTAAAAGGCTGCTGAAGCTCACACTACTTACGCCTGTTTACTTTCACCGTTTAGAGTTAAATTTTAACTACATCGCTATGTTGGTTTGTTGATTTTAGATTCATATAATTTAAATTTTAAAACTTTTTATTACGTTTTTTATAGTTGTTTTAAAATATTTTTAAAGCTACGTTACTTATGATGTGTTAAGCATTTTAAGGCAATTTAATGACATTATAATTAGATAAGACTCCACAAAGTTCGAAACAGACAGAAAAATATTATTAAGTAACTAGAGGTCGCCCGCGGCACCGACCGCCCGGGGTTCAAAAAATTAAATTAGTAGCGCATGTGTTCTTCCAGACTATGTTCTATATTTCAACCAAATTTTATCGAGATGCGTTTAGCCGTACTCGAACCTTTAAACACACAAACATCCATCTAAACATTTGCATTTATAACATTAATAAGACTAGTTGTAGCCCGCAACTTCTTTAGCGTTAACTACAAAAAATGGTACTCCGAAATACAGTTAGGAACCTACTGTTTCGGAGATTATCCTGAACAAATGCAGACAAACGCGTTGAATTAATTAAGACACCGTTTAGATATGACTTAAGGACAATAGTACTACTTATATACTAAAATATATTTGTATGTGAAGTAATATATTTAAGTTACTTATAACTTTAAAAGTGAATTCGTATTAGAACTTTTAGTTTGGTCATAAATTTGTTTTGATGTTTGTTGTTAGTTAAATATGCGGGTCCGAATTGTTATTAAAGTTAGTTTAAGCGAATGCTTTTAAGCTTTAAATGTTCTCTTGTAGTTTTGAATATATTAAACTTTGTTATAGTGACATGCGTCCTTTGATAACTAGCTGTCACCTGCGACTCCGTCCGCGCGTTATTAAAAATATATAATTGTCTATGTGTTCTTCCAGACAATGTTCTATATGCATGCCAATTTTTATTCTGGAGATTCCTTTAAACAAACATCCATCCACCCATCTAAATATTTGCATTTATAATATTAGTAAGACATTATCTCTGAGACTTAAAAAAAAATGTTGAAAAGTTTTTTTTGTATTTTTTTTAAATCCTTTTAAGGTAAATAACGTAACAAGATACAATAGTATCACAGATATAACATGTTTAAAACCAAAGCCGTAACTTAACGTAAAATGTTTTTTTTTATATCATAAGGTGGCAAACGAGCAAACAGCCACCTGAAATCACTGAAGAAGTGACCGCTGCCCATAGACATACGCAATTGCAAATGCGTTGCCTACCTTTAATTGACGGTGGAGAGGATGCACAGAAAAAAAATATTTTCCTTTCCATGCATACTCTCATCCTGAAAGTCCACTTCCACTTTCCATCCTTTCCTTACAGCAAGCGTGAAGATAAATGTAATTTTAACAAGCCTTCAACGCTAACTGATTGCCAACACTTATTTTATATTGTTCAAGCTAAATTACATCCATTTGTGCTAACAAAAGCCAGATACAATGTTAAAGATTTATCATCTCTAGAAACAAATATACCGCGTTCAGTTATTAAATAGTCGCTAAAAGAGTCTTTAATTGTAAGTTTCTGAGATCTCATATTTCCCGTTCAAATAATGATAAGTTTTATACCGAGATTTTGGTATCGGAAACTAACGGTTAGTATTAAAACTCTGCGCTAAAGATATGCTTACAAGTATATTAATAAAGGACTCTGGGATCGACAGTACATATGTACATAAAAAAAAATTGTCAATAGTAAAAAAAAAAATTTTTTTTTGATGTTTTCGTGCAATATTTTTCCATTTTTGTTACATATTTTAACTTTTTAATTTGATAATATTTTCTCATTTCAGGTAAGTGTAAATCTTGCATACTGGCATTTAACTTAGGGTGAGTATTTACAACTTAAACTTAACAGCGTAACATAAAGGTTATGACTTCAAGTTTATTTCTCTTTTGAAA